TACATTCAATAGTCAGCGTCCTAAGCAAGACAAAATTCTACCACTACTATCACCAAAATTTAATGATAGATTGCTGGTTGCACTTCTCTGTGCCAATTTTATGGTTGTCCTTTCTCTAACTCAAGTTAGCCTTGGATCCTAGCAGACAACTGTACAGAAGAAAGGCACACAATAAACTATTCTAAAACCAAAATTAGAGAATTCTTGAAGGAATTGATACCCTGCAGTGCTAACCGCACATCAAAGGAGAAGAATAATTTCATTGGCTTCATTCTTCAAATATCTTGGTATAATATTTCAATACTCAAGAGTCCAGTGCAAGCAAATTAAATCATTTCTGATGAGGCTAACAATAGCACTAAGTCATACTGGTCTTTTTTTATACTACTAATAAAGAAGACAAGAACACGCCTGTGGCTATAAAATTGTTTAAAGCTAAACCTATTTCCCAGATGTTATACAGCTGTCTGATACACATTAATTTCAAGTCCTTAGATATCATTCAGTCCAGATTCCTATCAGTGCTCTTCTGAGTATCTTGCAGAATCAAGAACATGAAACAGACCATTTGGAAATCAGGATAATACCTTTGGAAACTAGGTCCTGCATAGACTGGCTTTACTTTTGACTCAAACTCAATTTTTCTAGTGATTTATTGATCCTTCTCAATAATTCTTCTTTTTCCCAGAAACAGTAATATATACCAGTGTGGCTTCCCAAGCGCAGTCCTCTTGGTCACAATGAGTCCATGGAGTAGAGGAGCAATACAGCAGTAGCTATTTGACACAGCTTTCAGGTAGAAGAGGACAAATTAGGAGCATTGGCAATAAATAAAAAGGGAACTTTAACCAATAACCTATTCAGTCTCACCTGCCTAATGCACTGCAGAGCTTTTTTTTCCCCCAGCATCCTTTAATATTTTGCCCTCTGCAATTTTGGAGGACAGATATAATATTATCGCTTTTGCAGAGCGAACCTGGAGGAATCTGAAAGCTTTGCCCATCCATTTCTAACATCTGCCTTTATAGCAATTTGCACCGTCTCGTTATAACTCCACTTACTAAGAGTAGTGTCACTTGTTCTGGGAAATGACTTCTTTTGCTTCCTACTGCTAGACAGCATCCCTAAACATCACAGGGAATGTAGCAAAAAATGTTTTCAGGCTCTCAATACTGGCTCAACCAGAACACTCGAGAAAACCTCTAATCCTCTTCAGTATAAATGTGTTATTTATCATATGGGAATAATGTATTGCAGCACAAAAATGTAAGACTTACATGTAGTTGGTTTTTCTGTCTATGCCAATTTAAAATCAAGAATGATGAGTTTTCAAAGGCATCCTCCCAATATAGCATTTCATTCTTTGGCACTGCTGCAATATTTAAATAGATTGGTTTAGCCTAATATTACTGGGTGTGCTTCTGAATTAATGTCCTGCTGGAAAGCTACAAGTAGACAATTTTAACTATATGATAAATTATGTTGCCAAATGAAATGGACTAGTAATCAGAGATAGGCTGTCAGATCAATTTCAGATTTAAATTCCTCTTTTCCCTTCACCTGTTCATTAAGCTTCAGATGCATGGCAATCTTGGTGACTGATTGTGCATTAACAACCTGCTCCTACAGGGAGGTGTAACTTAGTAAACAGACCATACTAACATATTCATTTAAACATAATTCAGAGCTAATATATTCAGTTCACAATTCAACATATAAACACCCTGTTTCTCCCCTAAAGTTTAAATTTTGGCTTGACAGTGAAGTGATATGATAGTTCATACAATTACAATGCAACAAACCAGAAACTTTCTGAAGGTCAAAGGAAACCAGGGGAAAAAAAATCAAACAATAAAATCTGCTCTATGCAATTTAAAAGAACAACCTATATGGTTGTTTCTATATAGGGTGTTTCTTATATTATCTTACTCCTGCTCTTTTATTGAAGTTCAGTTTTTAAAAATCTACTGAAATATTGAAAGATGCAAAAAAAAGAGCGATTGAGATTATCAAAATGCTGGAGTTTTTAAAGAATTAGATAGGAAGAAAAAAGTGCAGGGTTCTGGGGGTTTTTTTTAATAGAAATATGATAAATTAGTCAAGCTGCGGGGGAAAATAGGTAGAAAAAGGCTTTCTCTGAAATTATTAGAACCTAAAGATCATACAGTGGAACAGAGTTGTGGAAAACTTAAAATAGATACTTCTTTCCATAATGTACAGTAGACAAGACAAGTGACTATTGTAAGATGTAGAGATGGAAACTAAACTTCCGTTTTAAAGGAGTGTTTATATATTAAGAATATAATGTACAAATTCCAATAACGGAAATAGTCTAACAGCAGGTGGCAGCACTTAACCAATTTTAACTGATCTTGAAAAAAACTAGGCAGAGTTGAATGTGTAGGAGTTACATAAAACAACTATACTCCAGAAGTGAACCATGGTGAATCATGCCAGAAAAACTGAGAAACTTCACTTTCCCTTTTTCTAGATCTGGACCATGTCAATCTAGTCATTCTGGTGGTCCAGCCATTTTCTAGCCCCAAATCATTCATAAGAAGTGGTTTCTAGTGTTCTAAATAGATCCCATAGAAGTTTAATAAAAATATGTTTGGTCAGTCAACCCAGGTCTGGCATTTTTATCCACCTATCGAAAGCTTCCCAAGAACCTGGGGTATTATGTAGAGTAAAAGTTATTCCAATAAAAGATGCCTTTTGCAAGTGACTGATGGTAATTTTGCCTATGCTGATGAAGTTTGCAGGTCTTTGTTTTTTGTTATTTTTCTCAAGTTCTTAATCTTATAGTCTGCTGTCTCCAAGGACTGCCACGTCCACTAACCAGACTTTTTTTTGTCTTTCTTATCAATAATTGTTACATATGCTGTTACAACTGCCACATATGCTTATCTGTTTCAATTCTAAAGTCCCAAAGCACTTTAGCTTCTTCATTTTCTATTACTTTGGCTATTCTGTGGCCCTACCAGTTCCTTGCTTACAAGCAAATAGTATTTCTTGCAGATAGTCCAATGTAACATTGTTGCTACTTTGTCATGCTACGTTTGTAGCCAATCTGTACAATCTTCTTGCAGCAGCTAATCAGCTTCTTTGCAGAGGTATCACTTGCTGTCTGTTGCTGTCGTCTCAATTTTGGATTTAGCAATAAATAGCAATAACACTTAGACGTATATACCGCTTCACAGTGGTCTACAGCCCTTCTCTTAAGTGGTTTGCAGAGTCAGCCTATTGCCCCCAACAATCTGGGTCCTCATTTAACCCACCTTCGAAGGATGGAAGGATGAGTCAATCTTGAGCCAGTGAGACTCGAACTGCCAAACTGCTGACAACCAGCAATCAGCAGAAGTAGCCTGCCACACTGCATACTAACCACTGCACCACCGTGACTCTTTCTTTATATGCATTTGTTGTTAAGGCTTGGTCTTGTGCCCCTTGGTCTCTTTCTTCAACTTGCCTGCTCTTAGCCATTGCCAGGTCTTGTTATTCTGTGCTTTGCCTATTATTTGGAGTAGGACCCTGCCCAAGGTCATATAAGCATTCATCTTATTAACATTTAGAAAGCTGCCAAAACTTGACTATTTCAGGAAGTGTTCAGGAACTGATGGAATGGTGCGTTCCCACCCTGATGTAGGTTAGGTGAATGCTTTTACTGAGAATGACATTCTTAAATGGGATGGATGTGGAGGTAATATGATTGTTTTGTATTATGGTATCATTTATTGTTCTAATTTTCTTCTTTACTACACTGTAGAGAATTGCTGCATGTGTGCTTGCTCAACACTCATGCGGAACAATCCTTGACCCCCTCCACCAATCTGCAAAGCCAGAAAAGTTGGGGAACTCTGAGCTACATCACACACCCCCAATGGATCCGCCAGAATATTCTTTTCTCACTGATGGTTTTCACAGCAGTGCACTTAGAGCCTCCATTTGTGCCCCCCTCAGAACCTCTGTTCACTCCAAAGGGGCTATATTTCAAGCCCCCGTTTTCTTTTATACACTAGCTGGGTCCTTCATTCACGAAACAAGCTCCTATACGGCACATAAGAATCCCGAATGATGCACAGAAGCCCTAATTACAAAGGTACAAAAGAAGGAAATTTCTTGGCTTCTGTGTTTGTGTTAATTTGTGTGTTCTCTTTATTTTGTTTAATAAATGTATACATAAAAAGAGAAAGATAATGAATTAGCTCAGTTTTTCTCAATCTAGTGCCCTGCAGATATATGCTGCAAATACACTTAGACAGACTACCTGACATTTCAAATTCTGTTTTGATACTGAATATAGCATAACATTAACTATCTTTGACCATCATTGCTTTAATATCAGTTCATAACTGCAGTGATAATAACAGAACCAAAACTTAGGATAAAATAGTTGCATTTTCCAGAGTGCAAGACACATATGCAAGGAATTTCTTGCATATACTTTCAGAACATGAGGGAATTATTTACAAAATCTATTAAACATAAGAAATTTGAGAAACTGTAAAATCATCTGCAACCAAAATTCAAGCCACAATTTCAGGAAAAAGAAAGATCTAATAGTAAGAACAAATAAAAAGAAAGATCTAAATATATGCGTGCATACATGTGCGTGTGTGTGTTTGTCTCAACCACACAAAAATCCCCTTGCCTTTCTTCCCACAGTATTCATTCTGACAGTTCCTGACAGAAAGCTCAGTAAGATTTGAAAAGAGGGATACATTTCATTGTAATGCATTAGTTCATTACTCAACTGATCAGCAGAAATTAAATAAAAATTAACCATTCCAAAAAACAATAGACATTCACCTCTATTTTATGAGGCCACAAATTTGAATTTCCCTGGGATATGTCTGACAAAAGAGAATGTTAGTATTATTAGCATCAAGTAAAACTACTTTTCCCCCCACCCACATTATTCTGGGGATTTCCAGAGGTTTCTTAGAACACTCAAAAAACTAAGAAGCTAAATATGACATAAAAGATATTATAAAACCTACCAGCGTTAACTATGGCATCAATCTCAAGCACTGTGATATCGCCTCTGTATAGGGAGACTTTTTCACTAAGACTTTTCTGCATCAAGAAAGCTTCATTGGTGTTGTCTTCTGTAAAGCAATAGAAAAGAGTTTAAGGAATGCTAGTCATCGCCTTATATTGGAAAATGAAAAAAAATAGCCAATTCTCCTACTACTATCAGTTTAGTACCATAAATGTTAAAACATACATTACTAATGTATATATTTTAATTTGCATACTCAAATACTTAATATATACAAATATGCCACAATAGTTTCAGGGTACAAAGCAGTTCAACCCCAGCATTTATTTACTGTTACCCTCACCTTTTTGTTTATGTTTACCAAATCTGAAAGGGTACAAGTAGTCCTCAAGATACAATGACAATTGAGCTCAACATTTTTGTTGTTAACCAAGGCAGTTTTCAAGTGAATTTTGCCCCATTTTACAGCCTTTTGGCCAGAGTTGTTAAATGAATTTCTGCAGTTGTTAAGTGAATTATACAGTCATAAAGCAAATCTTCTCCCACTAATGTTGTTTATCAGAATCCAGCTGCGAAGTTTACAAACTGCATGTCAGAACAGTGCAACTGCCATAAATACATGCCAGTTGCCAAGCTGCTGAATTTTGATCAAGTGACCATGTGGATGATGCAATGGTCATAAACTGGTCATAAGTCACTTTTTTCAGTGCTGTTATCAGTTTGAAGAGTCTTAAATCAATGCTTGTAAGTCGAGGACTATCTGTATAACAAAATTAATGACTGAATTTTTTTTCTAAAACACATTAACAGTAGCCATCTCAGAAAGAAAACAGCATTAAAACTCCACTTTCAATTCCTTATACCAATTGTGCCTTTTCCTGCAATTATGCAAGTACATAATAATCCATAATAATAACTGCTTTAAGGAACTGCAAACTGATACCACCATCATGTTCCCATATGCTCCACAATACCTTTCAAATTCAAAGGACTACGTGGAATAGCTAGGACCATAAAACTCAGCTTTTTAAGCATAATTGTGCCTTGTCTGGATTTTGGAAGAATTTTCTTTTGATGTCTATTTCAGAACAGTGCTATGCAAGTAGTATATACAACAAATGTATAGATGAATTTGTATGTTTGTACTATGTCATGTGTTTTATAGGTTGTTAGATTTTTAATAAAACAATCAAATCAGAAATCAAAAAACCTTTATTTGACTATGAAATCTGTAACTTGTATAGCATTTTGCTCCGCTAAAAAAAAAGAAGATAATCCCCAAAATAATGATATGGCATGCTTGATTTTATCAAGTGAAAGAATACTGGCCTGGCAGAGTATTTTTATTTTATTTTACTTTATTTATTTTATTATGTCAAGCGATTATTAGATAATAAATATAAGTATGAACATGGTTATGAATACATGAGATGGATACGAATAAGAAAAAAAATAAACAATAGGACAGGGACGGTAGGCACGTTGATGTGCTTATGCACGCCCCCTACAGACCTCTTAGGAAGGGGGTGAGGTCAAGACAATCTAAGGTTAAATTTTTGGGGTTTGGAGTCAGGTAGAGTATTCCAGACATTGACCACTCTGTTGCTGAAGTCGTATTTCCTGCAATCAAGTTTAGTGCGGTTTACCTTGAGTTTGTATCTATTATGTGCTCTTGTATTGTTGTGGTTGAAGCTGAAGTATTCATTGACAGGTAGGACATTGCAATATATAATTTTATGTACTATACTTAGATCGAACCGAAGGTGGCGTAGTTCTAGGTTGTCTAGGTCTAAAATTTCAAGTCTGGTGGCATAATGCTACGAGCAGAGGAGTGGAGAACTCTTCTTGTGAAATATTTCTGGACTTTCTCAATTGTATTAATATCAGATATGTAATGCGGATTCCAGACTGATGAGGATTGGTCTAGCAAATGTTTTGTATGCTCTAGTTAGTAGAGTGATATTACCAGAGAAAAAGCTACGCAGGATTAGGTTTACAACTCTTAATGCCTTTTTGGCTATGTAGTTACAGTGGGCTCCAGCACTCAGACCATTTGAGATGAATACTCCAAGGTCCTTGACAGAGTTTGGATCACCAACAAGGTCTTGACTATTCAGCTTGTATTTTATTTTCTGATTGTTTTTGCCAATATGTAAGACAGAGCATTTATTTGTTGAGATTTGAAGTTGCCATTTGTTTGACCATTCTGACACATAGTCGAAGTCTTTTTGAAGGGTAGCAGTATTGTCGGTCATATTGAATAGCTTTACATCATCAGCAAAAAGAACGCAGTTGCTCTTAATAGGATCACAGAGGTCATTTATGTATAGAGTTGGTCCTAGAACACTGCCTTGGGGGACACCACTGTTGACAGGTACAGGATTTGACAGGAGGCTCCCAATTTTGACCATTTGTTGCCTGTTTGAGAGGAATGTTTCTATCCAGTTATGCAGGTGTCCAGAGATACCATAAGATTTTAATTTTAGGAGTACTTTGTTGTGTACCACTGAATCAAAGGCTTTACAGAAGTCTATGTAAATTGAGTCAATTGCTTTGCCCTGATCAAGTTGTGTAGTCCATGTTTTTGCCGTGTAAGAGTTGCAGATTACAGGATAGTTTTTTTCTGAAACCAAATTGTTTGTTAGAGAGTAGGTTGTTTGTCTCTAAGTGGAGGATAATGGGTTGGTTAATAACTGATTCCATGACTTTACAGGTGACACAGGATAAAGAGATTGGTCTGTAATTTTCAACTAGGCTGGGGTCTCCCTTTTTGAAGATGGGGCTGACCATGGCTTGTGACCATAGGTTAGGCATGGAGCTGGTCCTGAAAGATTTTTCAAAGATTATGCTTAGAGGTTCAGCTATGGCAGTGGATAGCTTTTTTAAGAAGTAGGCCCATATTCCACCTTCATTCTTCCTTAATATCAATCTCCCTATCTAGTATAAAACACAAATATACATATATTTTTCTCAGATTCCGCATTATATTTTCTCTATGAATCATTTATACATTACAAAATACTATTTTCAATACATTCTTATACATCCCAACATATTACCTTGCGGAATCCCCTTCCTTATCCCTTGTTTTCACCCATTATCTCTCACTCTTTGAACAATGTACCTTCTTTTCATCCTTGTTTGTTTCCTGTTCCTCTTTATTTTTTGGTTCTTTCTCTTAATTCTCTTTTTTCCCATTCTTATTCCCCTCCCTTTCTCATTCCAATTATTAAACTTTTCTGTCTTCCTCTTTTGATTTTTCCTTTCCACTTCCTTTTTCTACTTTTCCCTTCTCTCTTTAACCATTTTCCAAACCATTCTCCCTTTTATCATCCCATCAGACCGCAAAATTTTAATTCTAATTCCTTTTCCCCCCTGCTTGAATAATTGTTGTCTGTTTTGTTCTTCTAAGTTGGCTTCTTCTTTATAAAACTCCTCCCCCTCTGGTTTATTGTGTTCTTATGTATGCTGAGTCACCATTTCTAATTTCTGTAATACATAATTACACATTTCTAGTTTAATTTTTATCATGTCCCTTGTATCTTGCATATCCTATCTTATGTTTTGTAAGTCCAGTCTTATATCAACAAGTAGCTCCTCCATTATATCTTCTCCTTTTTTCTTTTTCTTTACTCTTCCTTAATAGTTGAAATCCTTTTCTTTGATAGATATATTCAATCCAGAGTCCAGTATCTTATTTCAGCCAATATCTTTTGAGTTTATTTTCAACAATTCATACTCTTGAATCTTTATTCCAAATCTTCTAATTGGCCTCCCAACTGTTTCCCAAATTACTGGGTGGTTCTATGACAATAATAAAGTTCCTTTTATTTTCTTTCAAGTTCCAAGATCCAAAGTCTCAAAAAGACCAGGCATTTGTTTTAAAACACACTAAAGTTTCCTGTACCATCAGGTGGGGCTCTTGAGTCTTTTTCTTTTTAACTTTCTTTGTTGAATATGATGTTTTTATTAAATTTGCTAATTTCAATCATTAGCTATTCTTTTCAATACACTCAATTCCAGCATTTAGTTATGCCCTTTAAGTGCGAACAATTCAATATCTTCCCAGTTTAATTTTTAAACCTTTGTTGTGTTAATGTATTTTCCTTTAAATTTCTCCTCCAGATAAGTCCAGTAAAATAATCAAATCCAAATTTAAAAACCCATTTTCTTTCTCACTTTCTCTGGTCGCCACTTCCACACACTTTCCTCCAAAATAGCCCTTTAATTTTATACTGGGGTACCTCGAAAGCTATGCCCTTTGCCTGGTTCACACTCTGTCCAGCACAAAACTTAGTTTCCCGGAATGTTCTTTGTCTTCATGGTGGTCATTTTAAGACCACCGCTGCAGCTTGCCTTCGGGAGGGATTTTCCTGTTGGGGAAGGGAGTTGCGACTCCCCTCAACTCTCCAGGCGATTTCTCCCTTCTTCACCACCCTACCGATCGGGACCCTCCAGCAAGAGAGCTTAGGAGAAACCGCACACGATCGCGGATTCTGCACTGACACCGACGAGGAACAAACTGGAAGTCATGTGACTTACTTTTGATACAATCAGCATGGTAGTCAATGTACAGGTCCTTCTCTCCATTGTCTAGACTTTTTTGAGTTCTGTGTGGAGTTTATGGGAGCGGATTCTTTGCAATATGGGTAAATCTGGCCGTGAGCAAAGTTTGTTATGGGTGGTATTGGTTTTAGCAGTGGCGTTTATTGTATGAATGAGTATCCATTTGCTGGACTCATTTTTGCAAACAACTCTACAAAATCTTGGGACTACCGAGCCATCATTGTATTTGAACTCAGGGCCATCTCTGGTTATTTCAATGATATCTTCAGGAGAGATGTTTGTTGTATTGGAGTTGCTTATGATATTGCAAACTTTGGTGATATCATCAGATTCTTTGGTGTCTTCAAGACCAAATAAGATGGCATTTGGATGTTTCTGATCACGTTACATGTCTCTGATGAGTAAGGAGATACCATTTGTGGTATTATTTGATGGGATAATTATTTGTGGCTGTGGTTTGGTGGTTATTTTTGGTTGTAGTTGTGAGGTAATAGTTGTGGTAGTGGTTGTTGAGTTGGGATTTGATTTTGAGTGATAGGT